AAGGTAACCTTCGAATCAGAAAACTTTCGGTACAATCGAAATCAACGATTTTATTAATACAACATCCCCATTGAGTGGAGTCGGAGTCTAGGCAGATTTCTTGGCGGACGACTTCTTCTTAGCATCCAGGAAAACGTTGGAACCGCTGCTGTAATAAGGCGAGTAGCCCGTGGAGTAACCGAGACCCCCATAATGGAATCCACCGAGTCCATACGAGATGGGGGAAGTGCTGGCAGATCCATAGGAAATAGCAGGAGCGGCGCTGACAGTTCCGTAAGAGACGGCGGGGACAGCGCTAACGGTTCCATAAGAAATCGCAGGGGCAGCGCTGAAGCCTCCGTACGAAATCGCAGGGGCAGCGCTGACGGTTCCATAAGAGACAGCGGGGGCGGAACTGACGGTTCCGTAAGAAATGGCGGGCGCTGCTGAGATTGTGCGAATAGCGGGGGCAGCGGCGACGGAGATTGCTCGGGAACCGATGGTAGAGATCGCAGGGGCGGCGGATATGACGGCTCCTCCGAAGCCTGAGCCAGCGTAGGAAGTTCTCACAATATTGCCCCCAACGATTCCTCCTCCGACAGCTCCCCCGGCATTAACGTCATCGGCGTAGTAGACATGGTGTGAGTCTCCGCCAGCATTCACAAATTCGATGGAGGGAGCGGGAGATTGACCTTTGACCACTTGGATGATTCGAGCTCCGGGCCGACCAGGCTTCTGGACGTCGACCACTTGAGTCTGAGCCCGCGAGACGACGCGTTCTACCTGAGCAGGACCGGACTGGTGGTTAATAACTCGGACGTGATGCTGCTCACCAGGGACCTGAACTTGAGCCACTTGAGGTGCTTCCTGAGGTCCTTCGTGGACACGGATCACTTGATCTCCTGCCTGGAAGTCCTCGATACGGATGGCCTGGTTTCCTGATCCAGTGTGGATCTCATGAGTGCGGATGGTTGGAGCCCCGCCGGTGGCGATCACACCAAGGTTGGCGGGGGCGGCAGCTGAGAGAGAAACAGCGGGGGCGGCGGAAACGGTGGCGATACGAGAAGTGATGGCAGGAGCGGCGGATACAGTTGCGATGCGAGATGTAACAGCGGGGGCCGCGACGGAATAAGATACAGGAGCGGCAACAAACGAAGATGTGAAAGGCGATGAGACAATAGAGTTAGAGTAAGAGACAGCGGGCGCCGACGCAATCGTAGAATAACCAGCGCCGTACGACAATGCGGGGGCAGCGGCAATCGTCGAATAACGAGCACCGTAGGAATAGGCGGGAGCGTATGACGTCAGCCCAGAAAGACCAGAACCGTAGCTCAACCCGGTGTATATCTGACCGTTGACGGCAACAACGGCCGAGATCGCTGCCAGCACGGTTTGGAAGGCTCGCATGTTGTTCCACTGAAGTGCTAGAGTCAAGTGCGGATTCTCTCCGTTCCGCTTCCGATTAAATACAAGGCTTTAGCGGCAGATAATGCCGGCGAGAGGAAGCGATTCTTCAATCTAGTTAGCGCGTTCAACAATTGAACTGTTTACGAGGCGGCAGGAAGCTCTCGCCAGTCAATCGTGAGGTTCACACCGAGTCTTTGTGCTTGTAAGGCTTGAAAATATTTGATATTCATGGATTCGATGCTCATCGACGCACGTGTAACGGAACATCACGCAGCATCCATATCGTCATCGCACGTCCACTCATCAGTGCAGAAAAATTGAGGGAGAGAAAGAAACGCAGTTTCCGAGAACTACAAATGTCTTCCTAATTCATCATACTGCTTGGTCGAGCCCGTCCCGAGCACTTGTACGATGCTTTGATACAGGAAGTGTCTCGAGGACCTGTGACTTACATGTCAATCACATCGATCGCAATTCCCACGTGACGCCCCGATTGACGTCAGGGTCGACAGCTGGTTCACTCTGTTGATACCGATATCAATGCGTTCCGAGAAGGAAAAATCACCACGGTCGCTTCTGCTGACCGCAGAAGATTCGTCGACTCCTTTTATTCCTTGCAACTAACGGATCATCCAGGAAACATCAGAGAAAATTTTTGCTCGATGGCCCCTCCTTCCTTGGTCGATATGAGAAATGAAGAGTAGCGACCTTTACTCTCGGATTTTTCCGGTCACTCGGATGGAGGCGTCTCCGCTCATGAGCAAACGGCTCTCCGGCAACGGCGAAATGACGTACAGCCATAACATGGACGAGCGGACCATCGATCCTAGTCGGCGTTGCTCATAGGAGGAACAGCAGTCAAACGATGGAGCCAGCAGGCGATCGCACGTACAAGAACGTATCTCATTCCGAACGCAATTCCAGTCCGGATGCGGTGGCGCCTGAAATCGCATATCTTCTGCTGAAGGACCTTCGTGCCATGAATACGAAGAGCGTCTTCTTCCCGCCGATTTCGTCGTCGAGCATTCCTTGCTTAGCCACCCATCCAGCGAGCTGGCCAAATGGAGTTACAGACGGCAGTCACTGACTGTATCCGATGGACCCTGAGCTGCTCAGTGAATTCCAATTTCGGCTTATCTCCAAACGCTCACAACGATGACACTCGTACCCGTGTTCACTCCGGCTGCCTGTAATCCAGCGAGGGAGAGGACAATTCTTACAGCTTCGAATCGTCGAGAGTATCCCGAGTGGCAAGTATTCGATTGCCTGGGGCTCGACCGATTCTTCCGGGAAGTGAGATACTGATTTCTGATCGGTCGACGGTGTGGCAAGACATCCAACATCTTTCCGAGTCCGCACCCGCACCTAGAGAGCCATCGACCGGGATTTACGAGACTCACGAGGCAGGAAAGTCGAGCGAAACACCATCGAAAAAACAAACGATCGTCGCGGCGGCCCGACGGGAAATCCAAAATACAGGTTTCAATGATGCATTCAGATCGAGTTTGACCATGGGCGACTAACAGCGTGATATATGTAGGTTCTCAGACAGTCGTCGTCTCAAGTTTTGTTGCCATGTTTTCTGTCTGCAGTCGCTCGTCCTTAATCGCATTACTGCTTGAGCCCTTTTTGGAAATGTGGTGTGTCTCAAGACGCACCCCATGAAGTCAAATTCGGATCAAAGGAGAGTCGAACTTTTATTCCATTCCGCGCTTACTTCAAGCGAAGCTGCTATCAAAATCGACATCGCTAACAAGTCGCTTCTGCATGAAGAGAAGATCCACGTTCACCTCTGATACGCATAGCTCGCAATGAATTTCAAGTCAAGAGCAGAGAGTGCTTTTTGAAGTTTGGCATGCGAAGGATATAGCGTGATCGATAATGCGGATAAACGGATCGAGGACGACTGGGGGTTGCGCTGAACCGCGATCTACCCGCGAATTGTAATCTCGTCTCGAGGACCCGCCGTAAAGAGTACCTACCCTCACCTGCAGATCGCGGGCCACAACCAATCGTTTGCATTCGTCCGGCTCCCGCATAGACAGTGACGCAACAAAGCTCCCTTATCGACGACCAATTTTCCCGACGCCACCTTACTCCTCATGAAATCTTCGATGACCATGTTACATCGGGGGCCTTATGTTGGAGTCGCACCGAGAACCTCGGGATATTGGAGTTCTCCTCATTGACTCGCAATGGTCCGTCTCCTCGCGGTTGGCTAGAGTATGCCAGAGAGATACGGATAGCATTCCACCGTGAACATGCATTCTTGGCACCTGGTTTGCCTCCTCAACATTCAGTCTGACGTCTGCTGTTGCTCCTGATTCTCTTTGTAATTGTCAGCGTGAGACGAGGGGAGCTGATGCTTCATATCTTCGTGAAACTCCTGTATCTCAGGCATTCTTCATCACACACAACTTCAATGAGTGCGATTCTGGAGAGACTCATCTGACAATGAGATCAAGGATTCGAATTTCAATTCCCCCAATCGGAGGGTTCAGCTGAGGCTCAACGACCGCGGTTATAGACCGCAGTCGCGGTTTCCTCTAAACATTGCGTTCTGTGAGGGACAATGAATGACCGCGGTTTTCCATGGTTAACGCGTTTTTTCGCAGAGCCGAGTAGTCGAGCTTCATCAGCTTCTCACAGGACTTTGACGAATCGAAGCCTGATCGGAAGGTGGTGTGTAAAAAAACCTCCGAGTTTTTGCCAAGACGCGTTCTGACCTGGTCGATGCCACATTGGAGGAATCTGTGGGTGAATATATACCATTTGGAGATGCCTCGGCTCGGCCAGCCACCCAGTGCTATTCGAGAGCTCAGATGTCGAAGGAAACGATATAGGGGTAGCGCACAAAGCCATAGAAGACCCGTCTCAGCATTCCGATTCTCGGAAATTTTGGAGTTTCTTGGTAATCATAATGAGAATCATCGGAACCTGGAGCGATCGAGAGGATACCTCGATCGATGGGAAGAGGAGTGTAGAATGAACAGCTGATGAAGCTCCGAACTAAGATGGAGAAGACGATCTCCGCGTACCCGAATGATGATGACCGATATATGGGAACTGAGAAGCATCAGCATGAGTGCGAAACGACGGGCTGCGTGAGGGTGAGGCTTCTCGAAACTAGAAGTCTTCTCCGAGAGCCGCAGCTCTCGACTTTGGTCCAATGCAGATCCTCGCGGTGTTACATGGAGGCATCATATGGTCGCGCTTCTAGGAGCCGCGGTTCTTTGCAAAGTGCAAAGTCCAGCCGGGATGTTTCCATCTGACTGAGTGAGCATCATGGTGAAATTCAATTCGGAGCCTCCGCCAGACTCGATGGATAGAACACCAAATAGAGCTGTGCTTCGTGCATCGATCGCCGAGGGCGAGGAACTCATCTCTAGGAAGTCGGAACTCTCTGAATTCCCCGCTCGACGGGTTTGGATGGGACCTGGGACAATCCTCGGAAAGCGCGCAGATTTATCTTCAATTCTCGAAGCTTTCAACAGCATCGCGAAATTAATTCGGGGATCACGGGGCTCTTATCGAAACAGAGAGCTTATCGACGGTAATGCTTTCTGTCATTAATAACCGGCGTCGAATCGGTAGCAAGCGCGACAGAGGAATTCGCTCGGTCATACGATAGCAGTACCATTCATCCTTGCGAAAGGTGCGAATGAGCTTGGGAACAAGCGTGCGATTTTCTCTCCCTCCGATCCCTCAAGGGTTCCCAGATGCCCCAGAATGCAGCGAATTGTAGAATTTTTCCCTCGGCCGTATTCTACAATTCACTAAATACATAACTATCAATTATCTATCCATGGTATCGTACCCGAGGTCCTTGGCTGCTCAAGGTGGTGCGCCCTTGAGCCTTTCCTTTCTCCCGATCGAGTTCTTCATCTTTCTCACGTAAATCACCCGAACCAATGGAAAAATTCGCTCCGCGAGAGAGTAGATTATTACAGCAGACAGGTCTCATCTCTCTGTATTCTCCGGATAAGTTCACAGAAAATTTCTCGAATTACTCCCCTCCTCTCCCGGACCGCGGAAAGTTCGGGAAACCCCGGTCGGAACGAGATCAAGGATCTCATCCCGTTCGGATATATCTCTGCCTATCCCTCTAGAAGTCGACTGATCGACCTTGACAAGTCTCATCAGGGAGCTCCCTATCAAGTGGATTTCCCAATTTGACATTCGAGCAGAATGACTCATGAAAAGAGAATTCCTCATTCATCCGGAGATTCCTGAAACCTAACCACTTCTACCTCCGAACAGATCTCTGAGATCCGCCCAGGTCGCTTCAATCAGATACTTCTGATTCTCACGGGATGTTCGTAATTCAATTCGGGTTGACGCTGCTCCCATATGATCCTCTTTGATTGGGAGATAAGCATCATCCTCGATTTCTGTCGTGCGTTGTCTAGCTCTTTGGGGGTCTGAAACGCAGCCGACACGAAGTCTGTATGGTAACAGATCGCATGTTTTAGGCCCGCTTTGGGACCGTGAGAATTCATATTCTGTGGAATTCTCTTTTTGACAACTCACCCTGGTACCGGCAATCACGTTGTCGCCTTTATATCGTTCGAATGCCCCATTCGAGATGAGGAGCTTATTGAATCTACATCGATCCATTGGATTAGACGCGATCCGAGGAGAAAGCCTTCTGATCGCTTCTGTTGGAAACATATTTGTCCTGATTCCCGATCTGTCTCCCTTCAAATTTCTGCAGACATGATTTCTGCGATAATAGATCGGGATTATTGCGTCAAATGCAGAGCAAACAGTATCGTCGGAGACGGCACCTGTGTCGACCCCGAATCTATTTTCTTCACGGTGCGACCTTGGTGAGGTTGTACCCAAATTCAGTCCGACACGGCAGTGCCATCAATGCGGATAAGCTGCTCAATAGGATTTGATGGAAAAGCTCAGCAAATGGGTGAGCCGGGGTCGGCGAATATTCCAGAAATATTCCTTCAACTTCGTCTCTGCAGATCTGTCGCAATCTCGATCGATCTTCAACTGACTGAGACACAGGTATGCCCTCGCCGTCCAGGATCTCGCGAGCGTCAGATGCGTCCGGGTGACTTGGACAGCTAGCACCTGCTGCAGAGTCTTCTATGTCGGTCTCAGAAATGATTGTGAGAATGTCAAATTGAGGCGTTGGACAAACGTGCCCGCCCCTCTCTGATAAACGACAACTCTATGGGACCGACTGGATCCGAATGGCACCGAGTGTTCTCCTCTCGTGCGCTACGTGTTTGAGTTGGAATCGCATTTTTGGTGATTTGCCCAAACTGTCACTCATCCGCCATCATTCAGGGATTCTGGTATCGGAGCGCTCTGATTGGGTTTCGAAAGAGAGGTGTTTCAAAATAGTCTTCTTTGTAAAAGTCATGATGGAGTCAGATCAGGTTCACGATTCGAAAGTCATGACTCATGAGGCTGGTGGATAATTCCCCATGAGCGATGTTACCGATGAAGCGCCTCGGGTCTCGCCGTGATTGATTCCCGGAGCTTATCATTCAGCATTCTTGTTCACTATCTGTCCCCAGCCGGTATCTTGACAGAACATCTTCGTCTAGGGGAAGAGACTTGACAGGAAGATTTCGAGCTGATCAGGATCCTCCATTCGCCAAAGCCAATTTTACGGTAGCTATCAAACTGTCCTGCTGCCGCCCTTCCAGAGAAGCACGTAAGACGCGTCCCGTCAACAGAATGGACTCGTCGCGACAGACGAAGTGATCAGGGAGTCCGGAAGTTACAGACGGATTCGATCACCCATGTATAGATCTCCTTGAGAGGTAGCTCCCGACGCCGCGCCGTAGGCGACAGCTCCGACACGATTTCCATGTTCGCAATAATACTCACCGGGATTGAATGATTTTCCAAGAACCTTGCCCGACGAGTACCGGTATACGGGTACCACTCCCACACTGGCGACCGGGAGTGCCTTTCACGGCAGGCTGGATGCCGACGTCTGTGAGAGCTTGCATGGGGAGTTCTTGCGATTGAAACTTCACGAAGAAATCGGTTTTTCGATTTGAACTCTGCCAGTCCTTCGCTGAAGAGTTCAAGACATTCCTTACCATCAGAGAGCGCAAGCGGCATTCTATCCGGAGATCAAGGAAGCCTCGGAATTTCGGTAAGGTCTCTGGCTCATCCCTCACGTCTCATACGGCTCCACTATGGGATCGTGAGACCGGGAGATATATGTATGTACATATTTTTCGATATCATGGAGCTGATCGAGAGGACCGAACGAACCCTTCGTGGGCAACTCCCAGGTAGGAGACCTTCCAAACGTATGCCCGGCCTTCTTCCGCATTTTTATAAGGGAAGCGTACCGATTTTGGGCCATGTACCTGTTGTGGACCTAAGTCGCCTAAGGTTATGTTATAACATCGTGGTCCACAACCCGTCGTTGGGGGTGGGCCCGAGGACTTCTATGAGGCTGGCGCTTAACTGGTGGCGCTAAACCCACCACCTCTCGATTTTTCGCTCAGAGAAACTGAAAACTCGATCATACATATAACCACGAAAAACTCCAGGTTTGATCAGTCACCCCAGGGTCGTTGGAACTCGATTACATGTCTTCCGGGACTTGATGATGTGATTTATGTATTCGCACCGCGGTGACCGAAGAGGAATTCCACAAGGGCTGGAAACGTGGTTTGTGTTCAAATTGGATTGAGTCAGAATCATCGAAGGGAGTGGGTCATTTTTCTTGAAGAGCCGGAGCAGCAACTCGAAGTCGAGCCAGTCGGACCTCATCCGAGGAATCATGACCTCCTCGCTCCCCCGACCAGTGTTATGACAGCGTCGTGCGTCGGATAGCTTAGCTGCGATACGACCGGGCAATGTCCAGCGCAGGAACTCCTTGGTTAACAATAATCGTACATCAGATGGATTTTTCGAGCGTTCCCGGATATCAAAATCCGGAAGGTATTGTATAATCGAGTCGGATAGGTGATATAGTCGGGAATAGAATTCCCATAGAACTCTCTTTGAACTCGATTATATCATTATTTTCTTATATGAATCACGTAATTCATTCGAGTGTGCAGCGTGATACACCGTACTTCCTCATCGTGGATTTCTGCCTCGAGACTTTTTCGATCTCCGAATATTTATGGCGACCTTGCGGCACTCGGTCGAATCGCCGGACCCTTGCATGAGGCGTCTCGGAACAGCTTGCAGGGGAACGCGCCATCAGGCTTGGGCCACGGCACCAGAGTCCGATGGGGAATCCCGAAGCGGACTCTTGACTCTTGACTTCATCCAACAATATCATGCCGTGGCTGTTGCGCACGGACTTCCTCTCAAAGTCGTTCGCCTCGAGGAGGATCGTAGAAGACTTGCGATCTCATGAGAAGAGGTTTTCGTGGCTCACCGTTATTGATTTAGAATTTCTTTGACATCGGTTGAGGAACTCTCAGGTATCGCCGCCGAAATATTGCCTTGATACTCCTTTCTCATGATATCCATCAGCGGAGGAGTAAATTCAGCTCAAGTACTCGACCCGAAGAGCTCACCCTGCCGAGATGTGCCCACGGTCCTGGAAGGACGAGCCCTGCTCAGTGTCGTACACAGGATTTTTCTTGGGGGGGGGCTAGGTCGGGTCTCCGCATGTGCCTG